TATATTTCATATTTTAAATATAACATTTATATTTCATATTTTTCATATTTCATATTTATTCGTATAAATAAAATAAGTAACTTTATAGATATAAAATACAGATTATATAGTGAAATATTCACATACTACATATTAAGTAGTCTAACTAAAATCTTCCCAATAAAATGTAAAGCACAGGATTCATAAAATCTAACTGTTTATTTTAAATCCCTGCAGATGTCAACTGGAAAATTGGTCTTTTTTAGTCCTGACTTCTGTTGAGTGGGTTTTAAAGTTGGTTTTGGGCTGTCAATTATTCTGGGACCTGGCAAACCTGCTGCCAATAAACAAAATATTTCCTAGAGTCCATTAAATTGTATACTATATATTAAAAATGAAACATTGATATATATTATATTTAATAATCACACAAAAAAAGAAATTACATAAATATAAAAAATAGATATTTAATAAAAAAATATATCTTAATAATAACAACAGAAAAAAAAGAAAAATACTCTCTCTCAAGAAGATCAAGTTAGTGCTTCTCTCTCCCGCCTTTCCTTAGCATTAATGTCATCAACCTCAATCCTGGATATAGGAAGAGCAACAAAAAAGGCAAGAAACATAAGTATAAATGAGAAAAGGTCAAAGCAGAAACAGAGATTACATTTGTACTGTACCTCAGGGTCTATAAATGTCAATGAGGTTCAAAAGTACACATAAAACCCAAATTAATTCAAATGCATCAAAATTAATTATCTTTTAACCTCATGTAAAAAAAGTAAAAGTAAATAAAAGGGTCAATAATCACCATAGAGTGCCTTTCAACCCTCACAATACTCAAATATTTTGGTTTTAATTTCCCATTCGCTTTATGTCATGTCAAAAATAGTAGACACTCAAGTACTATAGAAACATATTAGCTGAGCTCTCACACATTTTTTTTAGATAATTATGGGCCATTATTCGAAGCATAGACCATAAGATATGCCCACCCTGTCATGGACATATATATTACTGTTATATACATTTTCATTGAAAAATTAAGATGCAAATTATATTTTCTGAAAGGTATGATGTCCCTTTCCTAAACAGGGTTATTAAAAAAATAATATAATAATAATAAATAATATAATTACATCCTCAATCACATTGATATACCCCCCCGCCATTCATTTTAGCAATATTAACTACAAATGAATGCTATGTCCACCCTATCATGTATCATGTGTGTGTCATGAGTCTAAGTGGCCGACAGGGTGGACATTTTGAGCTTCAATTAGCATATTAGCTTACAACAAACTGTGACTAGCTAAATAATTAGTCTGGTTGTTGAAGAGAATTTGGTATATTTAAACTTACATATTTTGAAAATACAGTATTCTAATCACTTCTGGCATATTTAATGCTGACAGGGTGGACATGTTAAGCTTTGGCAAAGCAAGTAAGCAAAGTCATACAAAGAAAATTTGTCAATTGAAAAGTCACCAACTTACTCACCTCAGCTGTTGAAATTCCCGCCACTGAAGAGACAAAAAATCCTCTTACACAAAACTAAAAAAAATCTAGAAAATGTATCTAAAGAGCCAAGTAATGCTTTTGTTATGAATATAAAAACTTAGCCTAATATAACACACCCTTTCATAGTCATTTTTATGTTAAGATATCATGGCAAATGAGTTATGTACAGGACACCAAAAGGCACCCCACAGTGATATTGACCCAAAAAATAAAAAAACAAGGCATCTGACACCAAAGAAAATTATCTGAATTTTATGATCTTGCAATGTGCTGTTTATAAGCATACAGTATCAAAGCTCCAGGATATAGGCTGATGCTTTGAACTTAGGCTGTTAAATTCATTTACACAAACAATCAATCTTTATTTTAATACATGATCAAATGGTAGGATTGAATTGGCCATTTACATGCATTTCATGTGCCCAGTTTCCATCCCTGAGCTAAATGTAAAATGAGCTCAAATATAGATTCAGTGATCGAACATGTAAATAATTACGGATGAAAGGAAGAGACTGTGGGAGAAGTTTCAAAAAGAGGGACCTTGCGTGATTTTATTGCTCATGGCTCTCAAAAGCTTTTGATGGATGGCCATGTTGAACTGTCTAAAAATACAAAGTGTGAGAATAGCCGCCAGTCACAGACTGTGTTTACTGCACACACTTGTCAATACAAATCAATTTAGAGTTTAAATGTACTCTATATAGACTCTGTAATCTGATAAAAATATACATTTATGTGAGCATCACATGTACTGTATTGCAAGTTATTTCTGCATAATACATTGAGAAACATGCTAAATCTACAAAGACAGGAAGCACATTTCCATGGCAATGTATAATGAAGACAATGTGATCTGCATAATCTAAAATGATTTTGGATGATGTGCAAATCTAGGCGGACTCCAGGTGGCAAACGCAAACCAGTTGTTTGGGGAGCCTAAAACCAGCGGTAGAACGAGACTGGGGAGCCGTTGACATGGAGACGGCGAGACTCACCAGGGAAGCCACGTTTATTAGCGGGTGAGATCAATAGTCTGCCGGTGATGTCACTGGGAGAATTTCAAATGGTGTGAATCAGTGTGAGATGGGATGAAGGAAGGAAGAAAACAAGCTCTAATTAAGCACCTGATGCGGCGGGTCAACATGCCACAACGGGGACCACGGCGGACCACTTCCTGTCATTCAGACAGAGCCTGGTGATGCTGTGTCATGTACTCGTTAATATGTCTAATTCAGAAGCAGTGTAATGCCAAACACCTGCATCTCTGTATGAAGGCAAGGTCAACTCCCAATTGCAAAACCTCAAAGCTTCTGACACATGTTTAGTGGAAACAATATAAATTATGGACAGGAGTGGATGTAGTCATGAAGGAGAGGTATAATTATACTATCCTAAATAAGTACGGAGTCACTTTGACTTACTTCACCTCTGCACTGAGCGTAAACAATGAGGGAACTACTTGCACTGTGTGCTTACAGAAACAGAAAAGGCTAATTCTTAGTCAGCAGTGATCATGAAAGTCACAAAACACATTGTCCTCACATTGAGCACTCCTAGTGCGGCGCAGAGCACCAAGTGATGAAAATCTCATCTCTTCCATGTTAATCTTGTCCTAAACAGTGGAAACGTGATGAAGTACCACTCAACAAGATATTGGGCGAATTTCACTGAAAGTGAACATAGCTATGCTCTACTCATTCTGAAGGACAGAGCACTTGAAGTGAGCACGCTGAAGGGTGCAGGGCTTAACTGCGTTGTGTGTACACATTTGGAAAATCTTACACAAAGATATGAAGAGTTTGGTTCCAAAACGCTATAAATCCATTTGGATTAATTTGAGTAAAAATGTGTTTTCTTTACCAAGAAAGTGGCAAGATGAAAACCACTATTTTCTGTTTCAAACTTTCACATAGCATCTTTAGGTTATAATAACATAAAAATTCAAATTCATGAACATACATGAACAACAATTTCACATTAAACCACAGAAATGCCAAAATGACATTTCCCTTACATTCAACTTCCAAAAGTGCATTCATCTTTGTCATGTTACATTCATTTACTTGATTAGTGCTATAGCCTACGCTGTATTAACAAAAACATTAATGGCATTAATAAAAACACTTACACTGACAAGCTACGCAATATCACGTTCATAATCGAATGTGACTCATCTGCGATTATGAACACGATATAGCAGTGATCTACGGCTCTGTGTATTAAATGCCGCTCCATCTGAAAGCCCGTGATGGAGATTTACTATTAATCACAGAACCGGCTTTACTGACAAGATGCGCACGACAATCACGTGCGATTTATTGTACAGCCCTAAGTTTGTTTGTTGATCACAAAGTACAAAATAGATGAGGAAAACTAGGATGCCAGGTGTATTCAAAGCACCGCCATTACTGTCTACAGTGCGTGGAATGGTGCTCTGTGATTGGTTGTTACCGTTGACAGTGCGTGGAATGGTGCGCTGTGATTGGTTGAGCGGATATATCGCGTTTTGGAAAAAAAGGGAGAAAACATGACAGAATAACAGAATAAAATTAAAAACGGACTTTTCAATACCGACTAGATACAATACTGATTTTGGCGGAAACTCATAAAAAAAAATAAAAAAAAAGGCGTTTATCGCATTTTGGAACCAAACTCTTCATATATTTTATCTGATTGCAGATAAACGGTTTGATCTTCGGCTGATCAATCAGCAGAAAGGGGCGTTTAATTCCCGCCCACATGTAGAAATCAAATATTCAAGCTGTTTATTCATTTTTCCACCCATGAACGAAAAACGAAAATTTAAGCTGAATTGTCGTTTCTCGTTTTTTGGAGAAAAACGAAAAAAAAAAATGAAAAAGTAGCCGTTTTCTAATTTTTCTATTTTCAATATTAAATAAAAAAACTAATGATCGAATGATACACGGATTAACATCATCCAAATCAAACAATTTTGAGTTGCATGTCACTTTCAGAAAAGTCAGCTACTCAAAAACAAAACAAACAAACCAGACTAAAACAAAAAAACAAAAATCAAAATCAAACAGTCACTTTGGAAAGACCCTTTGAGTAGCCTCCATGCACAAATGCAACTGCATGTCACTTTAAGTAAAGTCAGTCAGCAATGAAAATCCAAAAACCCCAAACAAAACCAAAAATATATACAGCATATAAACAGTTGCCCAAAAGCCATCTGCCAAGAATGTGCAAGTGCAGCCTCATGCCTGCTAGACAATTTAAAATCATGAGTGGCCAGGAAATGTGTAATAATAAAATGACAGTTATCTTCCTTTGAGCTGAGAGCAACGAACAGTCCTCTTTACCACACTGGCTAAAACATAAGAGACTGGACTTCATTACAGAGAAGCCAAAGAGACCACAGCTGTTAACCCTGAGCTCTACAAATCCAATGGATCTGAACCATTTGAAACAAAGTGAATCATAGTGGCTGATAAAATAAAAGACGACAGTCAAGAGAGGGGAAAAAAGGGCCGTACCAATTAACTCTTTATTTCTGACGTCCAAGGCCATGTTTCTGAGCGCGGTAGCGACGGCACACACCACACGGTCGTTGTCTATCCTCAGCAGCTCCACGAGGATGGGCAGACCCTTCTCTTTCCTCACCGCCGCACGGATGTACACCGACCACTAGGGGAGACACACACACACACACACACACACAAATAAACAGGTGTAAGTCGCTAAATATGACAAATAACACCTTTTGGCCACTTTGCTATATATAATTCTACATTTCAGCAGTTTTCAGGAGACCATGAAGTGTATCGTCATAGTTGGATATGTCATGTGGGCAAATGCCTGTAAAGTGTCTCATTTTGGATCAGCACCCCGCTGACAGTGTAATCACACTCCCCAGGTTACAGTGAAAGAGTAATACTAGCTCAGAGCTTTAGCTCTCTGACATTCTCTATGTATGACCCCAGCTGTGGGATCAGCCTTTATCAGTGACGAGTGTCAGCTCAGATTAGACTCTCTGCTACCCTGCACTTCTGCTGTAATGGGGGAGACCGCAGCATATGGCCCAGCAGGCATCCCCTCATATTTCTCATTTCTGATGACCTCTGTACGTGTGCATAAAAAAAGAGAGCGTTAAAAACACAATGACAGAGAGGCTCTGTTCCAAAACCTTGTAAGCTGCCTACCTAGTAAGCAGAGCATAGGTTCACTAAAGAATTAAAAGTTGTTTCAAATTCATATTTTTACAATTTAAAATACCTGTTTTCTATTTTAATATATTTTAAAATGTAAATTATTCCTATAATGGCAAAGCTACATTTTCAGCATCATTACTACATTCTTCAGTGTCACATGACCCCTCAGAAATCATTCTGATATGCTGATTTGGTGCTTAAGAAACATTTCTTATTATCACAGTTGTGCTGCTAAATATTTTTGTTAAAACCATGATACATTCTTTCCCCAAGATTCTTTGTTGTAAAAAACAAAAGTTCAAAAGAACAGCATTTATTTGACAGAATTTGTTTGTAAATTACTTTACTGCCTCTTTTGATGTTTTTTTTGCATCCTTGCTGAATGAAAGTATTATTTTCTTTCAAAATAAAGATTGAAAAGCACCGATTAAAAAAACGGATATAAATAAAATAAATAAATAAATAAAACTATTAGTAAAGCCTCTTTCACGGTATACATTGTTTTTCTTGAGCACACACAAACCTAAAACGCTTTATGACCTGCATATATTCACCTCTGTCACATCAATACTGTAATGATGGTTTGATGTTGCATAATCACCAAACAGCAAAGTACAGTCTGATTTGAATGATTGCGTACTCCCTTTATCTGTTGCTAGTTTGAGTGACGTGGATGCTCATTCATTTAGTGTAGTCCGAAAGAGGTTATGGCAAAGACAAACAGTTTTGCATAATGAAAATATGCACCATGAATTGATTCAGTTGTGATAAACAATCACTAAACTTTTAGCTGCACTGCTCCAACACCATGAAAAACACTCTGCTTGTGTGATGAATTAATTTTTTTAAATTCTCATTTATGTGTTTTAGAAAATAGAATGGGAGCAATAGCCTGGAAACACAAATATTTTTCCATTCCATACTTCTTTTTTCATATTTATCCAGTACTAGAAATGACTAAATATCAAATTCCATACTTTTTCATACTGCATAGTAACCTATGCCTATGTAGAGTGTTTCAAATGAATCACTTGTGAGGTTCGTTTGCAGTTAGGATGCTGGCTAATATGGTGTCTGACAAGCGACGAGTGACAGAGCATTTAGTCTGTCTCTTAGTTTCTATTTCTGTGGCGTTTTGCCATCCGTGGTGAAATCTCATTGGTCCAAAATCCTGCTCCACACAGGTGTATATTAAAAATCAAATTGCCTGGAATTGTGTTAAATCAGGCAAAGTACATCACAGAGGCAGCTTACTAGGATTAGGAACAGAAAAAATGGCACTTAAAATGAGTGTGTGGAAATGTAAATCTGTCATTTAGTGAAAATCAACATCACAGTTCATTAAAACTTATGTTTGTATTATAAGTAATGCAATAAAAGAAATATCCTTGAAACTTTAATTGAAAAGGAGTTTTTTATGAGAAAGCATTCTTCACGCTTGAGTGTTTTTTTGATCTGTCTTAAGCTAAGGGCTTTGTTTCCATTTCCTAGTACACACAGCATGGGATTTGATAATACCACTGTCCGAGATGGACTTTGAAAACATAAACAGAGAGCTTAGTTCACACATATTAGACGAGGGCTCAATGTCAGCTCTTCTAGATGAACAAACAGAGCAGCCAATTATGGGAACTGGACTCGCTTTCTTTTACTTTCCCGTTTGTCTCTCCAACAAACTCAACCCAACAGCAGACACATATACAACCTGTTGCCCTGTAGGTGTGGAGAGGGGTCGCAGGGACGCCACTTTCATTTAACTTCTTGAAGGGGGTCTAAACCTGTTATGAGACTTTAAAACCAATCCAATCCCATTGCATCTGTCTCCATCTGAGAGTATTGATCTTGCAGAGCACATCAGGTGGATTAGCGCTCTCGAGCAACAGAGGTAAAAAAGCTTTTGTCGCTGAGAGATGGTGAAAAGGATGTGAGAACAAAGAGAGAAGCAGGGGCCAAAAGGGAGATTGGTACTGGTTTAAACATCTGATGAAAGCAAGTCTTTTCATGTCAAGAAAAATGCAATTTTACACTATTTCTTCTTGCACCGTTCAATAAATGTAGATCCTGACAACAGCGAATAAAACCTTCAGTGAAAACAAGTAAAGAAAACATATCAGGTACCAGAGTGTAATGCTAAGGTGTTCTGCGTGGTTTTTATCATTCTGCTATGCAGTTGTTTGTCCGATGCTAGGTGGACTAAGTCAAAAGAAAACTGTCTCGTCGGTGCCGATAACCCAGTGGACAAGTGCATTGACATAATGCCATTGCGTTACGGGCGTCCTGAGTTTGAATCCCAGCTCAAGGACCTTTCCCGATCCCACCCCCTTCTCTTTCTCCAACTTCACTTCCTGTCTGCTCTCAACTGTCATATCGTAAAAAAGGCAATCTAAACGATCTAATTAAATCTAAAATAAAAAAAACAGTCTTGGAAAATACTAGCAAAAAAGGTCAGATAAATGATGGCATCATTCTGCTAGGTGGACTAAGTCAAAAGAAAACTGTCTCGTCGGTGCCGATAACCCAGTGGACAAGTGCATTGACATAATGCCATTGCGTTACGGGCGTCCTGAGTTTGAATCCCAGCTCAAGGACCTTTCCCGATCCCACCCCCTTCTCTTTCTCCCACTTCACTTCCTGTCTGCTCTCAACTGTCATATCGTAAAAAAGGCAAATCTAAACGATCTAATTAAATCTAAAATAAAAAAAACAGTCTTGGAAAATACTAGCAAAAAAGGTCAGATAAATATGCCACATGCTGAATTGTCATACTTTAAAGGCATAAAAATAAATAAATAAACAGATATTTATTATTTGAATATTAAATTATTTTTGTTTAAGGCCCTCAATGCTACAATGGCTTACACTTAGACAGCTACCAATGACTAAAAATAAAACTATGTAAAATTATAAAAAAATGCATGATTAACCATTTTAATAATTTTTTAATTCTTTAAATACTTTTAATGTTTTTAACGACCCCTAACCCTACAGCAAGTAAACATTTGCCCTCAGACAGACACCAAAAGTTTAAATGAAATAAATAAATGAACAATCTATCTATCTATCCATCTATCTATCTATCTATCTATCTAAAATACAGAGAGATAGAGTCATAACAATTAAATCCAAAGGCAAAATCAACAATGAATGCTGACACATAATCATCAGCTGATCTACTTGTACTTTAAAGAATATTTGTTGCATCCCAAGCCATATCTCCATCACAGACAGATACATACACAAGGTGACTGACCGTAGGGCTTACCTTCCAGCTCCCAGCAGCCAGGTTCTGCAGTGCCCCGGCGGCCCCCTCCAGCGTGTCTGGGTTTGAGCACTCAGACAGGAGGGTGAGGTAGGGCTTTACTATCGATGGATGCCACAGCATCTGAATGCCTTTGGGGGGTTCAGCAGTATCTGGCAGCGGTCCCACACCATCCCACTACAGAAACAAAGATGTGACATGAAAAACAAGTCAGTCAGACAGGAAAACACTCAAAATCCATCGCCATCAGCATCTAAATCCTTATGAAGCAGTATTCACACTGACATAAATCTGCAGTGACAAAGCAACTTGATTTATTTTCAATGAGCAACAGTGAGAAAAGTCTGACTTAAAGTTAATGTGATGTTACTCTTCAATATGATTTATATATACACTAGCATTCAAAAGTTTTGAAAAATGTTTTTGAAAAAAAGTGTATTCACATTTATTTGTTAAAAATTACAGTAAAACAGTAATGTTTGTAAATATTATTCAATTTAAAAGAACTGTTTTCGGTCACACTTTAGTTTGAGGAACAAATCTCACTATTTTCAGTAGCTATTATTACAGTCTTTAGAATCACATGATCCTTCAGAATTCTCAAGCAACATTTCTTTTTCAATGCTGTTTTACTGCTTAACATTTTTGGGAAAAATATGTGTAAATGGTAATACTTGTTTGTGTGGAAATCACAATGCTTTTTTCAGGATTCACTGATCAATAGAAAGTTCAAAAGAAGAGCATTTATTTGAAATATAAATATTTAGTAAAATTTTAAATGTCTTTTACTGTCACTTATTAATTATTCTAATGCAGCTTTGCTGAATTTTTTTTTTATTTACTTACTGATCCTAAGCTTTTGAACAGTAGTGTGTCAGTATAATAAAAAAAGCTACAAGGAAAACTGCGTCAGAAATTATTCTAAGCAAGTCGTATTCATTAATTAATAATAATTTCTCTTCATCGTTATATACTATGCACTGCTGCAGTTTGAATATTATACAAACACTTTCTCCTCCAGAGTGTTCACTTTTAGTGTCAAGAAAAACTTTCATTTTTATTTATCTCTTTTTTTATCAGATTTTCTACAGCTATGACCACCAATAACATTAAGGTATCCGCCTACTAGCAACCATCAGTACAGCGACCTGGCGAACTCCTGAGATAAAATCGCTGTCATTTTGAACAGGTCAAAAGGCAAATGTAACCCCCTGCACATACACACAAACACCACACGAGGAGATCTCTTGACAAATCGTGGCCTGAATAGACCCAAAACCGAGCAGGAATGACGAGCTGTAAGTCTGCATTTGAGGCGTGTGGGTGAGTCAGTTTGAAAAGTGCTGGTCTCACAGGCTGACCTACTTTTAGGCAGAGCAACTTGTGAAATACCTCAGCATCTTAAACTAGCTCTGGCACTCAGCTTCACTCTCCCTTCATTATTAATGAGTCTGTTTTCATCTCCACCCGTTCCTGCTCGGAGGAGCGGCTCTGTTGTTCAATCAACTGCTGGACGGTGGAGAAGCCCCGTGAGGCTGCTGCTCTTCCCATACGGTGAACGCAGAAGAAATGGTAAGAGGTTGAGAGGAGACTTGGTTTAATCTGTTGTTTCACTATATGCAAACAGTGAGGGCAACATTTTGCAAACATTCAGTCTTACACAACCGCTGTCAAAACTTTTCATAATTTATCAATGAAAAAGGTGCCTGCTAAAGATGGCATCAGGGTCAAAGACACGCCGTATACGTCCAAATCTTTCAACTGATTAAAAAATAATGATGAACATGTTTTCAATTTCTGAAAAAAAAAAATTAATACAGGTGATGTAAACTTGTGGTGTAACTATTCAGAGATTGTTTTAAAAATAGTTTTCAAATATTATTAATATTTGGAGAACTTTTGTCTGCCAAAGTGAGAGTTGTGCAACCAATATGCAGGTAGCTATTTTATTGTCATTTGACAAGAAAAGTTACAGAAAATATGACAGGAATGACCCATGTTTTTATATTTAAAAAATGTATATTTATACATTTATATAATTTTATTATTTATATTTAACAATATATATTTTATTATATCAGGTGATGATTAACATTAATTTAAAAAATCAAGACATTTTGTAAAAAAAAGAAAGAAAATGTGTTAGATATTAGACAGACAGACAGACAGACAGATAGATAGATAGACAGACAGACAGACAGATAGATAGACAATAGACAGACAGACAGACAGACAGACAGACAGAAAGAGGCAGACAGACAGATAGATGATAGATAGATAGATAGACAGATAGATAGACAGATAGATTTTCAGAATATGTGTCTTTTTGGGCATCTAAAATGAGTCAAATCTGCCTAAATGCTACTCTTACAGCTTTTAAAAACCAAAAACGAGAGTTACCCTCAATCTAAAAATGACAATGTGATCCTAATGCTTCTTCTGAGTTATCAGAGTGTAAAACAGCATCTCAAATTGTCAAAAACTTTCTCTTCGCCCTTTCCTGTCAGCAAGCTTTGAGCATAATGAGTGCTCCATGCTCCATTTCTCAGAGTAAACTCAAAGAAGGGTATCAGTGCTTGGTGGGCTGAAATTGCTCTGGTTTACATACTCTCCCCTCTCAGTCGATTAGCTATGCTAAATGCCACTGCCCTGCCCGACAGAGCCACGGCGGCGGCACGCTCTGGTTTCCTGGGCTACCTCACTGCCACTTAGTGATAAATGATTTAACGGAGTACATTAGCCTTCTGTTGCCCGGAGGCCCAGGTGTCCTCTTTCAAAGCGTCTCGGCTGAGGAGAAGGTCCGGCACATGATACGAGAGGGCACCTTAGGTGATGGGGAGAAAAAGCCCTCTTTACAGTCCAACAGGCAGAGACAGATGACTCGGGTATCCTTGCATCTCCTTCCTTCTGTAATCTGATTGGAGGAGACACATCTGACTGAATCCTAAAACAGATCAGCAAACTCATGTACGGGTTTTGAGGTAATGAATGAAGGAAATACATCTTTGAATGTTCAAATGTAAAAGACGACGCAAAACATCCCCACGCTATGTTTAATACAACAGTCTATGCTGTCATAATCTCAACAGAGCAATAGCTCTGATGTATTATTCGACTCTGACTGCTTTTAAAGTTTTACCGCTTCTTGCTAGGCACGTAGCAAGTGGAGGTTGTTGTGACGGACATCTCTTTTGCAGCAAACGCGGGTTTTATTTTAGTTTAGGAGGATTATATTCAGCTATCGGTGGCTACAGTATATCACCAGCTATTAGCTTTATGGCTCCACTGGAATGGGACATATCCAGAGGGAGTTGTGTTACACAACTGCTCTCCCACCTTCACGCTCCCCCTCTTCGTCTGCACCGAGGATCCCAGCTGACTTTTCCTGCGTGAGATTAACGAAGAGTTTCCTCTGCTATGGAGGAGTCGCCTGTAAAAAGGCTGGGTTTTGCCCCCCCCCTCCTTTAGTCTGACGCCCACAAACACTGAGATTTATCAGCCGTAGAGCGTATCACTGGGGAAACTCACTGTCTGACGGTGCGGCTCTGTGTAGGTGGTGAATGTTATGTTTGCAGAGGAAGTAATTGATAAAAGGGCGGCGTATAAATCTGTTATTTGGGGAACGAACTGAAACATAAATTGGGATTATTTTGAGGCAACGAGGGGTGTAAAAGGAAGTTGAATATGCTGATTGTGTTATTAATATTTTGATATGAAATGCCTACTTTTTGCTGGGATCTCTTTCAAAAGCAGAGAAGCATTTTATTATGAAATAAAGCCCCCTTTCTCTAGCCAGTCAACACAAAATGACGTTCACAACTTATTTTACTTCCATAATGTGACATAAGTGAAAATTAGGGGATATACATACATATAGACAGACAGACAGACAGACAGATAGATGGATAGATAGATAGATAGACTGACGGACAGCCAGACAGACAGCCAGATAGATAGATAGAGAGATAGACAGACAGACAGACAGACAGATAGATGGATAGATAGATAGATAGACTGACGGACAGCCAGACAGACAGCCAGATAGATAGATAGAGAGATAGACAGACAGACAGACAGACAGATAGATGGATAGATAGATAGATAGACTGACGGACAGCCAGACAGACAGCCAGATAGATAGATAGAGAGATAGACAGACAGACAGACAGACAGATAGATGGATAGATAGATAGATAGACTGACGGACAGCCAGACAGACAGCCAGATAGATAGATAGAGAGATAGACAGACAGACAGACAGACAGATAGATAGGTAGATAGATAGACAGACAGACAGACACACACATACACACAATAAATAAAAAAAGTTGAAAATACAGTAAGAATGGCAACAAGTATAAACAGAGGAAATAAGGGTAATAATGTACAACTTGATTTCCTGTTGACTTCAAATAGCCTCTTTCACTATATTCTGGACTATGATTTCCAAAGTAAAGTGTGTTAAGAGTCATTGTCAGCCGGTGAGGGCTACCAATGCCTGTAAATGATGCATCGGGTGGCCTACCTGGTCCTGGGACTTCTTCTTCTTTTTCTTCTTTCCCCAGCAGCCTGAGGTCTCTCCGTCCTTCCCGCTGGCATCGCTACACAGGAGGCCATCCAGCTCGTCCGTCCCCATCTGCTGTCCCTGAGACGTTTCAGCTGCAAGCCGATAGGAGAGGTTCCTCAAAATGCATACACAGTTTTCTATGGTCTGGCAGAGAAAGAGAGAGACAGATATTGGGCAGGTATTAGTCTAGCACCACTGAGCTCTTGATAGAGCCCATCTGGCCAGAGGGGCCAAACTTCATCTATTCAGCTCATACAAACACACATTTGTTCACACACACACACACACACACACACACACACACACACGCACGCACGCACGCACGCACACAGGCCTGAATGCACTTCTTGTACCGTCATAACGATTAGCAAATGTTCAGAAAAAAGCAGCCATTACAGAAGGCGTCTCAAACTACTGGCTTGCAAGATTTCATTTAATTTCAGTTCAAAATTAAATTCAACCTCTTAAGATTTAGTAGTTTATCCCGAAATTTGGCCTGCAAATCAGTTTCTCTAAAGGACTGTTGAAGTAAAAAACAAAGTCAAATAAAATAAAGTAAAATATAAAAAATAAAGTAAAATGTAAAAATTTATATTTGGAAAAAATTAAACAAAACCCCTTCTCTCTTTCATTTCATCTAACTTTCTAATTTCCTCTGTCTCCGTCTTTCTCTGAGTGTTGTGCTGGGAGAGTGTAGGCTGCATTGGCACTAAGTATATGAAAGTACTTAATTATATGTCTGACACGGTCTCCCATTTAAATGTGATTAAAGGATATACTCGCAGATGGGGAAAAATGACCAGCCAAATCCATCGGCTCACACTCCATTTAACAGTGTATTACAAGGAGACACAGCAGAGCAGGCACAATGCTTGACAGCAGAAAATAGAAAATAAATGCTCGCAAAATGATGATGAAAAACAAGCATTTTTCTCAATTTCCATGTTTTTCTTTTTTTCCCTATTATGGAACGAGGAGGACCATGCCCTGCACAAACAAAAATAATGACTGTAATCAGAGAAACACTCAGAGAATTATGCACTGGCATTTCAGATGTACAGAAACATATTGACTTACAAAAACCCAGACACGGCTGACCTTGCTTTCTCCATGGTTTTTGAGGAAAACAAAACAAGTTCTACTGAAATTTTCCCGGAAATGTGCTACATAATGAATATCGCACCTGGTGAAATTTGGGGCAGCACCATCTCTCTTACTGGCAGCAGTTTACAAGGTCCCCATTTTAAATGTTGAAGTCAACAGGAGGGAGCTTGACCAACCGCAGGTTAACAGCACATTAAGATCATGGGCGGCGTGCTTTCAGCAATTATAGCTCTGCTGGGCCAACACCTGGCGAAAACAGCTCTGGGCAAATCACTACACATAAAGAAATTGGAGTGATTAGTATGATTGCCCTTTTTCGAAGCCAGTGTGATGGGTAAAATGGTCGCGGTTGCTTTTTTAAGTGTTTGTAATGTGTTAAAGCACACTGATGGATGAAAAAGAGTGCTTAGTGCTCTAAAAGGAGTTAAATGGACATGTATAGGGAAGAAGAAAAGGTGTAACCATAGGCTGGAGGTGCACTTACAGAATTAGTATTTTTTACATTTAGACGAAATTCTCGCAAGGTCGCAGTAAAATGGGTGTGGCGAAGTCCACTAGCTTATTGGTGTGCTTTTAACTCAAGTGCTTCAATACGCCTGACGTTTTTTTGCTCTGACCTGTATTTTGAGAGCAACGAGAAGAGTCCGGAGATCAGATTTTTAGCAACACATGCATAAAACCAAAGTATACATTTTTGTTCTGCAGAACACAAAAGAAGATAGTTTAAAGAATGACTCAATGGGGTCCAAAACAATACTGGACCCATTATACAACCAAATATATTGAAGAACATCTTACAGGTTTGGAACGACATGAGGATGAGTAAACTAATGACAGATGTTTTATTTTTGAGAGAACTATTCCTTTAATATAGCGCCCACCAATGTTCAAATTAAACCTATGCCATTGTTTTTAGCTTACCAGTTTTACAAAGCAAAGTATACTTTGGTTTTACATGTTCTCTAAGGTAAAAGGGCAAACAAATTTTTCAGTCCCACTTTATTTTAAGCGGCCTTAACTACTATGTACTTACATTTAAATTAAGCATTTGGTCCAACACACTTTCTGTGAACATACATGTTTTTACATTGTACTTATATTTAAAAAAATACCTGCTTGTAATTACATCTGTAATTATTTTCTGTAATTACATTTAAAATTACTCTGTTGACCTATCCCTTACACCTTAACTCACCCTTAAACCTACCCATACCACCAAACCGGTTCCTAACTAAACCCATATCCCACCTCAATAGCAGCAAAAGTGTTTTGCAATACAAAATAAACACAAAAAATAAATTGTACTTATTTTTTGATGTAAGTACATAGTAGTTAAGGCCACTTAATATAAAGTGGGATCAAAAACACAGATGTGGAAGACGCAGAAATGAGCGATCTCATATGTAAGCTTATGCATATGGAAAATAACAAGATCATCAACAATAAATAGCACATAGATGAAAACTGCCTAATGTGGCCGAGTAAAATGTCGATCTAGGAAGTGGTAAAGGACTGTGCAAGCTTTAGGGGTGCTGACAGAAGAGTATTCTTCAGATTCTTACTGAATATGATCCAGATGTTGTATTTGATAAAAATGTGATTTTCTCAGCTTTTTGCTCATAATTTTGCTTTTTTATGAAACTTGCATACATTCAAGAGTTGATAAAAAATAACGCTTGAAGAAAGAATACAACAGATTTTTTTGTTTAAAAGTAGAGGCTCTATTCTTTAGTTTTTTAATGCATTGCATGTTCAGATATTCATACCACAAAATATTCTGGGGACCATGAAATTTTAGTGAAAATGATCAAAAATGCTGGTGGTGGCTGGCAACTTTTTTGAAAAACGCTGGTGGGGAAAGAGGTAAAAGGATATTTCACTCAAAAATGAAGCATCTTTCATCAGTTTACTCATGTCAATCCAAACCCGTATGACTTTTCTTCTGTGGAAACACAAAACAAGATATTTTGAAAAACGTTTAAACTCCATACAGTTACAGTCAATGGGGTCCAATACTGTGTTGGACATTTAGATGTTTCTCAAAACATCTTCTTTTGTGTCCTGCAGAAGAAAGAAACTCATACAGGTTTGTAACATCATGACGGAGAGTGAAATTATTTATTTATTTTATATTTTTCTAACCATCTACATTCAGCCTATAAAGCCTGAAGAGATATTACAAAAAATTCAAGTACACTATTTTTTATTAGCCATGCTGTGAGTTTGGAAACTGTGAAGAGAGGTGGTTGAGAGCGCACCGCGGGGGGGATTCAGACCGCAGGAATTGTGGGAAAGTTGGAATGCTCGCAAGTCTGAAAATGACCAGAGGGAAAGAACTGTGCCACGCTCCAGCATCCACACGCTCTGCTCTTCAATTCTCATTAGGACGGATGCATCCCCTGCGCTCTGCTATTAGCACGCTGGGCCAGACGGAGAGCTGCCAGTTAAATCATGATTAAAGAACGCCATTTAGAAGAGCGAGCCTTTGCAACCTTCAGAGAGCAGCCAACCACAGAGCTGTTTATTTGTTGCACACACACACACACACACACTCACAGACGTAAAAACTTTTACTACAGGTTGCCTTTAAGTTCTGGGAGAGATGGACGGATCCCAGGAGGAAAGTGTACCTTGCTATCAATCTCGCTGCTTCCGAGGGAAGTCTGGATGACGAAAAGCAGCGTGTCAGTCAGACCCTCGCATTCTCTCATCCGCCGCCGAGCCTCCTCTCCTGCCGAACTCACATTCCTGGGAGAGAGATGGAGAGAGGGAAGCACAGGTCAGTGATGAGTGCATTAAATCAGGGAGATTCAATCACACGGGTGCAGATTCCCTCTGGGCATTCAACCCGCTTTACACCGTACCACTGTGACAAACAAAATGCAAATGTTTCACATTTCACGAGTCGCTCAAACAAATGTCTCCAAACCTCCCACCTCTGACATGTATTAATATATGAATCTATTAGTCTTCAGGGGGAGGAACACTGACACTGCTAGATATCTGACTGTTTATTTTAGACAATATAACAGTGGGAGAGAAAGAAATGGATATTGGAATCATTTCAATTGGATAATCCAATAAGGATACTGATTATTTTGTTTATTGAAAAAATCAATCAGATGTACACTGCTGAATATGGACGAGGAACGAATGTAATAGGCTTATTATACAAACACAAACATTGTTCTAACCAGATACAACAGCTGCAAGTTTCCAGCAATTTCTCTGTCCACGCTGAAAGTGAAAACACTGTACAATTGGACAGATCCCATCAGATTGGCTTATCAAAACATATTTGATGTTTAAAATGCGGTTGTGGGACCAATGAGAATTCACTGTGTGTGCAGCGACAGTATATCATTTGACAATTTTGGGAGGCAGTAGTAGACAATCATTTGAACAAATTATTCAGTCACATAACTTGAAGCAGGGTCATATGACTTTTTCAATGCCTGCCTTCTGCCCTCGTTTCTCCATATATTTTCTTACAGAATTAAAATAATTAGCAACCAAATGTTTTATGTTCAATTTGGACATTTTTTGCTTTTATTTGGCATTTTATATATGCATATATGTTGTATATGTTTATATATTACACTGAATATATATATATATATATATATATAGCAGTGCAATATGGCTGTATGTCGGCATGGCTGAGTGCCGTAGGTAATCACAGCGTGCCGATATACAGCCATATCGCACTGCTACGAGTGTGATATTGCCTTTATACAACAGTTCGATGGCACACGTGTGTAAATGCATAAGAAACAACAATATATGTCACTGAATATATATATATATATATATATATATATATAATTAGTTAATAAGAAATTCATACTTTTATTTAATGATATTTAAACTTAAATTACAAAAAGGGACAGGAAGGCCTTTATAAAAAAAACAAAAACAAAACATATTAGAATGATTTCTGAAGGATCATGTGACACTGAAGCCTGGAGTAATGATGCTGACAATTCAGCTTTACCGTCACAGGAATAAATTACATTTTAAAATATATTCAAATAGATAACAGTGATTTTAAATGGTAATAATATTTCACAATATTACTGTTTTTACTGTATTTTTCATCAAATAAATGCAGCCTTGGTGAGCATAAAAGACTACTACAACAAAATGTATGTTGCTTGTTGTGGTCACGGCTGTTTAGGACAAAAACATTTAAGATTTATTGCTTGTTGTGCCTGGTTAGGACTTGCTGTAATGCAGTCAATGTCTCTGTGCAAATGAGACAACAGCAGGCATTAAAACTCCATCCACATGTCTATTAGACACACAATAACAGTAAATCATAGTTCTATTAAAGGCTTTATTCCACATCATATCAATGTACTGAAAACGGTTTGATTCCAGCTAAAAACTCCCTTGTGTGTCGGACCGAAAGAATATGACACACGTGTGTCTCTATGCCACACCATATGAAACTGCCTTAGGGAAAACGGCCCACTCGTAATAAGAAAAATTCACTCACATCAACTGTAATGGGAAACGGGATACATTACACCATGCAAGATTTACATTTCTATATTCACCAGAACTGAATCAATTGCTATGTATCATTTATTAGAATTGCCTCGCCTCCTCCTCTATAATGCATGAATATACCTGAAAAGGCATTGGAAATACATAATTTAGCCTGCATATGGAGCGTTTGAATTACAAACTTATCTATTTAGTTCCTTTATGGCCCTGCTTTATTATGTCATTAAATATTCAACAGGCTTGACAGCACCAGCTTTGGAATTTAAGACCTATAAGTGTTTCATCCAATTTGTTGAGCAAGGTTTCATCAAAAAGTCATGTGAGGAGGCACGGCTTACAGAAACACTCATGTCACAACAGACATGTTTCATTTGAATGAAGAAATTACTATTTCATTACAACAGACACACTTGAGGAATGAGTCACGTGCCAAATCATTGGATGTGTATGAGGGTCAGGCATTGGAAACCTGAATGTGGTAGTATATCAAAAAATCTTTAATATGAATTATAGCTTAGGTAGACAAAGTCATAACTCTTAAAGGTACCTTGGCACTTCCTGTACCGGCCAAGGTCTATCTCTCTTTGATTGGGTGGCTTGGGGGATGTGAGCTTATTGATATCCATTCTTTATTTTTTTTGCTTGTGTATTGCATTCTAGGCAATTAATGGCAGTTATTAATGTGCTTGTGTGAGAACAAACACACTAATTAGTCATGTCGCCCTTTTCTTATGATCCATCGTAGATGGAGGGAAAAGCATGTGGTTGCTATTATGGAACAAATCAGGATGAGCGCAGAAGAAATGACATCCAGCAACTGGGGCATGAGGACGCTATCCCTCCCACTGAAGAAACACACCAGAGACCAAACATATAACATCAAAAAATTGTGAATTTTATATAATCACAATAGGAAGTAATGTCACAATTTCAGATTTCCATGCAAGCTGTGTATAGTGTCAGACATGGAGATTATTGTCATTGGCTTCTTGTCAAACTTACAAAAATCAACCAATACTCCTATAAATGGATAATGGACAGTTTCTGTTTTCTATTTGAGATCATTTTGAGTACATTTTACAGACCCTGTGCAGAATCAGAAAATTTGATTATGTATTTATTTCTATATATTTGACAAATTTTGTAATAATTTTTGTGTGTATATAAACAAATATCCACACACACGCAGTCACGCACACAAATAAATTCACTTTATACATACAAATTTATATAATATATAAAAATACATTTGGATATATATATATATATATATATATATATATATATATATTTTTTTTTAAAGTGTGAGAAATACCCTCTGATATGTTGTGTGT